CAACTATCACTGCGTGAATTTATTTCTCAATCCAGACGGTATAATGCGTCAACAAGTATTGTAAGCTTATTAATAATTTATTAGCAGCTGAATAAAAAAATTAGAAGGAAGTACTTGTCCTCTCTGATTTCCTCTCCTTCTTGAAGCTATTCCAGTACTCTCTGATGAGCTTCATTCAAAAATCATCATTTCTGTAGAAATATCGCTATAACAGTTCGAAAGATAATTAAAGAGTTGCCTTCAGCATGATCAAATGTACCATTTTGATTCAGATGCTGAGATTGATTTGCTTAGCCACTTTAAATTGTACAACATTTATTTCACCATATATTGAGCTTATCCGTTCATAAACTTCTGAAAATGTTGACCACTAAAAGTCTTTCGATTTATAACCATAGTTACAATCGAACTCAGTTCTAATGAAAAATCAGTTAAGAACGATAGTTACCACAAAACGCTTTTCATAGCCAGTTTTAAAATGATTCGTCCCTGCCAAAAGAAAAATAAAACCTTCCAATGAAGGCAGGCTCTAGTTGACGATTTTTTCACCAATGATCCATCGATGTGGAAACTTCTAACTTGTTAATTCAAAGGCCACTGCGTATGCCTCTAGCCGCTGTAAACATGGTTGCCAAAATTACGTCTGGTTTTTCACCTTTTCAATTTTTTTTATTACCATTTACCAAATCGAGTGTTGCTTAAGCGAGAATGCGGCCGCAATTGGCATTTTTTTCTTTTTCGCATTGAACGAAAATCCACTAGCAGCAACCTTCATTTTATCCTGATATTTCGTTTGTTACGATTTACAATGAGAATTGCATTTCAGAATTTTGCTAATTGTTTAGGCTTATTTACCTGAAAAGAGCTCTTTCTGACACGATTTTCTTTACTATAGTGGGTTTCTTAGCAGCGCCATCCTGACTTACCATAGAAGGTTCAGTACAGAAACCTGTAGAACGCACGCTGTGTGAATCACGTAAAGAGGGGAGTTTTTGTAGATCGCACCCGAATTTCAATACGTATTTCGTAACAAAAGCATGTCAGTACATGTGCAAGAAACGCTGCCTACTCTAAGTTATCAAAAGCTACGTCTATTTAAGTTTTTTTAAGACGTTTTTTGAAGTGTAGTCGATAATCCTGCTTCACATCACATTATTAATCCATAAATCAGCTGTTTCCAACCACGTTGTTCTACCATGAAGAAGAGTGCGTAGTGCACCGATCTCTACCAAGATTCTCACCTCACTTACACAACGCTGTTTATTGTTTTTTTAAACATTATCGTTACAAAATAATATCCATAGTTGTTATGTATATCGTATTTACAGCCTGCGACAACATCTTTGGTAACAACCCGTAATTGAAGTCTTCCTTTTA